TGAGGCAGAGTCACTATGCAGTTCAGGCTGGCCTTGAGCTCACTTTGTAGCCCAGGCTGGTCTCCAACTTGGAACGATCCTCCTCCCTCAGCCTCCTGAGTGCTGGGATGACAGGAGTGCGCCATCATGCTCAGCTGGGGCCTAGGAACTTTAAGAAGCTCTTGATGAAAACTTGAGAAACCCTCTGAGGCACCCCCTCTGAGGTGATAGTTTATATCTTTGTGTCATAGGAGGTAATGGAAGTATATTTAATGGAAGGAGCCTCATTGATTATAAAATATTGTTTACTCAGGTAACAGCTGTAATCCCAGTTTTAAAAAAATCTGTTAGTAGCTGTAGTATCCCAGCACTTGAGGGCTAAGGGAGGAGGATTGTGAGTTAAGGCCACCCTGGCCTACATGTTGAGACCCTATCTCAAAAAACAAAACAAACGAATAAAAATAGCCACAGTCAAAAAAAAAAAAAAAAGTTGGGCGTGGTGGTACACAGGTGACGCATGAGGATCCTTGTGAATTTAAGACCAGCTTGGACTGCAAAGTGAGCTTAAGGCCAGTCTGAACTGCATAGCAAGACCCTGTCTTAAAAAATAAAAATAAAAATAAATAGCCACAATATTGTTGTGGTTTACTTTTTACTATGAAATGTGACAAAATTATAAGAAAATTGTGGTTAATATAGTTAATAATACATATAATTACTATTTTGTCATATTTGCTTATTTTTCTACTTGTTTTAAAGTAAACTGCAGAGTCAACCATGGTGGTGCACACCTGTAATTCTAGCATTCTGAGAGGTTAAGGTAGGAGGATTGCAAGTTCAAGCCCAGCCTGAGCATTTTAGCAGATAAATAATGAATAAATAAATGAATGGAGATGTACCGCAGTGCAAAGGGTTCAATCCCCAGTACTGAAAAATAAATTTATATATAAATTACAAACATCATTATAGTTGATACTAGTCTGAAAAAATCATTTCCTAGTATCTTTTATTTGTTTGTTTATTTTGTCTTTTGGAGACAGGGTCTCAGTATGCAGTTCAGGCTGGCCTTGAGCATACTTTGTAGCCCAGGCTGGTCTCAAACTCACAACAATCCTCCTGCCTCAGCCTCCCAAGTGCTGGGATTACAGGCATGCACCACCACACCTAAACCCTAGTATTATTTATTTATTTAAAG